TTTGCACAATTTTGTATGGTTTTTACGAATCGGTTATTTTGACTGCTTTTGTAGTTCTGTGTTAAAAAAACATTCATAATTTCTGGTTCTGATATTAGTCAATTAGAAATATTCTTCCCGCGATGCTCAAAAACATAATTAAAAATATTCTGTATTAAGTGCTGACGTTTTATTCGAAATTTCGGAACAATTTTGAAGAAATGAAAACATTTTCAGGACAATTACTACAAGAAAATGTTTGAAAAAAAAATTTTTTCGATATCTTATTCGTACTGTGAAAGAGGTCAAATCGTATCCTCGACATTCTTCAAATTCTCAATAGCGAGGAAAAGTAATCTGGTGTTCCGTTTAAAGTGAAACATCCTGTATAATTGTATGTTATATTTTATACATCGCATCTGAGTTGCGACCACAGCCATAGGTAACAACTCGGGCCTTGTTAACGTGGTAAATAAAAATACATATTCGCTGGACGGCTACCATAAATGAGATAATATTCTTTAGTTACTTGTCAATAATATATTTAAATTTTACCGTAAGTTTTTACAATTTTGTTGTGGTGTAAGAGACCAATTAATAACAACGTCAACATTCAGACTCAGATTTTTCGTTACAGTCACTCCACATTACGGTGTACAATTTCACCTTTTAAATCAAGTCTGTTTCTTTAATAAAAATTTGTGGGAAATATTTAAAGAAGAAGGTGTTGATTTGTACCCTATTCCTTCGATGTAATGAAAAGTAACTATATACCCATTTCTATATTACCCAACATACATATATTAATTTTAAAAGTATTGTATAAACAGATGGATGCCTCCACTACAGCCTACACTGTAGGTCTCACTACAGCCCCGTTAGAAAGAGTGGAAAGTTACTCGAGTTATTGTCCTCTCTCTGTAGTGCCGACTTCATCCCTAACGTAAGACTACTATATTACCACCGACTAGGTATAGAATAGACCTATCATCCAATGCATTTTTCTGTCCCACGTTCATAGGGCTACATAACCCTGTTACCATTTTAGTGTCAATACCCGACGTTACCGATAAAGCATGAATCCTGAGTATTATTAGCACAAATGAAGTGTTATATATTCCATTCATATTGCGTGTACTATGTACATGATTAGACGAGAATAAAAATATCCGATGCTTCAGTTTAAGGTTAAGGGATAAATATGACAGTCATGAAACATGAAACGGAAAAGTATATATTTTTTCACTTAACTACAAGATAATTTATTCTAAATGCATCATTAATGGACATTTTACTAATGTTACTTTTTACATGTTCTTGTTTTATTCATTTTTATATCTTGCATTACATTTGGATATTTGTAACAGATAAATTCAGAATAGATGTAGTTTCATAAATAATTTATCAAATCTACATGTGGGAGAATATATACACCACTTTTATTAACATTTACATATTTGTAATTTATATGGGAGTATAAATAGTTTTACTGCCTATTGTAAGAATTTTAATACGCACGAACGATTACTTTCTGGCAATCGGTAAATTTTTACATATGAATTTACTTACACGTTATTTACTTCCAAAAATTTTATTTATTGCGAGTAATTAAATAATGAACGTATGTTAATACACAGCTACGTGTCTCTCAAATTAAGTGAAATACAGAAGTTTTATTTTCTTGAAAATTAGTGTCAAAGAATGCAGCAACTGGTCAGATTAGTTTCGTAAATAAATCGAAACCCTGTATCGGCACACTGTTTTTTAGGCTATCAAATATCACACGGAGTTTTTTAGGAAGCAGTAAAATCTTCTACACAAGTTCAATGAAATACTTTCAGGTACCTAGTTTAGGGCTATGAAATTAGAATGTTCAAGAAGAGGTAAAGAAGTTTCATATTTGCAATTATTTTGTGATACTGTAATAGAAATCGGTATCCTGTGAGAAAAATCGTATTTAACGATATTAAATGAGTAATAAATAACGGTCTTAGGGATTTATACTGGAGAGCTAAATCTTTAAAAGGAACATGTCGCTTAAACAAATTAGTTCAAAATGATATTTATTTGAGGAATATGAACATCATAAATAAACGAGAGCGGTAGAGCTAGTTGCGGTATCGGTGCTCTCCGTCGGTGTCGACGCGTACCGAACGAGGCCGAAGATGGTCGGAGCGGGCGAAAGGGAGAGAGCGAGCCGCAGTATCGGTGCTCTCCGTCGGTGTCGACGCGTGCTGAGGAATTTCAGTGGTCTATGAGGGGAGGTGTGCGAGCGAGAGAGTACGGTAGAGCGTGCCGCGGTATCGGTGCTCTCCGTCGGTCCAACGCACTAGTGACGTTGCGTCACACAGTTTATTGACCTAGCCGTGTACGCCGTGTACCATAGTTGTACCTGGCTGTACCATCCGGTGTTTGGGTCGTTCAAGGAAGGTCGTTCAAGCCGGCAAAAACAATTCAACACGAACAAACCTGCGTACGCCCAATACATAACGGCGTTAGCTTCCTCACTTTCTCG